CAGAAAGCTCAGAGATGCCTCTTGCTCACAGGAGAAATTGGCTGGGAGTGAGATGCATTTCTAAATTGTTATCTTACGTGAATCCCAATATTCATTCCGTAATGAAGTTGCATGATACATATATTCAATATCCTACATATTGGCAGCTCAATTGTCTTTCCCCCAACCTTACTGCATATATAAGATTAATACCCCATATCCCAGATATTATGCTGCTTCCCAATTTTCCTTGTTACCGCTATAGTTTACATGGTCAAATCTTTCCAATTCCCCAACACGAAATGAATCTCTCCAAAGATAACGACAACCACCAGAATTTTCTTAGACTCGCCGAGCAACAATTTGTCACACATATTTTTTCACCGATGTATATAAAGATGAACGCGGTAACGTTGGGATTTCCACACTACCTACACCATTCTGGACGATTACCATTTTTCTTTTCAATATGTGCAGCTGAAATAACAGCCATCTCAGAAGCAGTTCAATATATTGTTGAGAACGATATCAAAAGCGCAAAATTTCCCGGTCAACCATATCTGCAAATAGCGATTACCTTTCATTATGTACCAGACAAATTATATATAGAGCCGTCACAAAGGGAAACAGCATACATTTGGCATGGATTCCTAGTAATTCCAACATCAAGGGTAACGATACAGCCGATACCTTAGCCAATATCGGAAGAAACCGTCCCCTCTCTAATCATTCTCAGGCAGACTATAGAGAGTTTCAAGCATTATTGAAACAATATCTGGATAGACTGGACCAATCAATATAGCCAGGACGGACAATTCAAAGCCAAACTTTACTTTTCCTCTGTGCCACAGTCTTACAAAACTCCATGGTTCAAAGATCTGGCTACTTGTTCTCCTAACGAAATCGTCAATATGTGCAAAATTAGGAGCAATAATTCCATTAATAAAGCGCATCTCCACGAACTTGAGATAGTTGATGACGACCGCTGCAAATGTGGGGACCTATAGACTCTCCTACATATATTCTTTGCCTGCTCTAACAATTCTCACAATATACAAATGATTCATGCCTCTCTCAGCATCCCTCCTTCAACAATTCAGCCTCTTACCTTCCACGATATCTTTTTCAAACATATATCACCATCTAACATACAAACCATATCCAAATTCCTGATTGCATCCAATATAAAGTTGTAGTGATCAAGACAGACCTAATACTTGTGCGCATGCAGTACTTCCCCAATCATGCCCTGATCGTAGTGCTCATACACGTAACCGTAGTGCATCACCTCACATTAGTGCCCACACTCTAGTAGTCGGACATTGCTTGTTAATTGACTTCAAACTACAGTTGAACTTTGTTTTTTAGCGCAAACCCAGGTGGGGTTTGGGTTCGACTCAGATCCACTTCAGTGTGGGCTCCACCTGTAGCAACATCACGACTTGGAGAACGTCATATAATGAATAAAAACTGTCTGAAATTATTGAGATCGGTACATGACACTTCCCATGCACAAACATGCCTAACGTTCAAATTGAAAGGAGTAATCTTTTGAGAAATTAGTTTTTGGGAAGAAGAACTTTTTGGCTTTCTACTTCTCACTCTTCATACATAAATTGTGGAAAACTTCCGAAGAAAATAATAAAGCAATTGAGATCAAAATAAACTCTTTACAAAAATATGTAGCTCATACATAGAAGTTACTTTCAAACACAAACTGGAAGAAAAAACCCCTCCCAAAACAACTGTTTTCATATTAACATTGAATCGTACGAAAATATTTTTCTCCTATTCAGTCTGTTCTCCATACATTCGTTATGGAATTGAAACATATATCATTCATAGGAACGCTACACAGTATAACATATGGATTAGATACAATATGAAGTTTCAAAATAAAACACTCGTCTCATTACCTCATCAGCGCCTTTCTGGATAATATCACAAGTTTTCCATAATTTTTATAAAGATGAAGAAATTAGATAGCCAAAAAGTTTTTTCCCCAAAAACATATCTCTTCTGAAAAATGTACCCCTTTCTATTTAAACAAGATTCCATGGCTAGGATTGAATCATATAATCGTCGGGATGTCTTCACATACTGTCATCGTGGCAGCATAAAGTAATGGTATATTATCCAGAAAGGTACTGATGAAATAAGACAAGTCTTATTTCGAAACTTCTAAGTCCGCCATTGAGGATGAGAGAATATGATAGTGTTTCATGTAAGCCCCCCTGCCATGTTTTTTTTCTTCAATCCGATTTTTCATTCAATATTATTATTATACCATTATTTTTCACGCCGACGTATTTTGAGACACTCTGTACATGTTTTTTTCCTAAACGATGAGATACCCTGTATGGCAGCCATGTTTTTTCTTCAATCAGATTTTTCGTTCATTATTATTATTATATCATTATTTTTCACGCTGACGTGTACATGTTTTTTTCCTAAATGAGACACCCTGTATGTCATGTTTTTTTTTTTAACGCCCGTGGCCATGTTTTTTTCTTTAATCCAATTTTTCAATCATTATTATTCGGTCGGTCGGTAGCCAAGCGGTTCGGCGTGGGTGCTTTTTTCACTCACTCGAATTGATTGCCGTGTTGGTCGGTGGTTCAAGCCCTAGTCTGAACTATCGATCACGTTAAAAGGTAAGACCTCGTTAATCCTTAGCTCGCACAAGTTTCGACTTCTGAGGGTTGTCGTTCGTAGGGGTGCGACAGCTGGTTAACGTAAAAACAGATTTTTAACAGATTTTTAAACAGATTATATCATTATTTTCCACGCTGACGTATTTGAGGCACATTGTACATGTTTTTTCTTCAATACCCTGTATACCTATTTGTTCTCATTCCAAGCGCGCTCGAATCGTTATCTTTCAAACCGCGATAACGCTGCTCGATTCTCTGCCGTACGCGTGACCTTGATGAAAGCAACCAAATATTGCAGAATGAACCTTAGCCGTTTTCCCATGTAAATCTCCATAAGAAAAGTTTTAAAACTCCTATAGCCTATTTACGATGAGACACCCTGTATGACAGCGATGTTTTTATCTATTACATGGCCCGTGTCCATGTGTTTCCTAAACGATGAGACACCCTGTAGGACAGCCATGTTTTTTTCTATTACGTTGACAACCATGTTGTTTTCTTTAACGCCCGTGGTCATGTTTTTTTTCTTCAATCCGATTTTTCGTTCATTATTATTATTATATCATTTTTTTCCACGCTGACGTATTTGAGACACCCCGTACATGTTTTTTTCCTAAACGATGAGACACCCTGTATGTCAGACATGTTTTTTTCTATTACGTTGGCGGCCATGTTTTTTCTTATATCCGATTTTTTTCATTATTAATATTATACCGTTATTTTTGTAATTCCACCGTGCCCTTATCTACTGAATCTACTCGATGCTCATTCCATCCTTCTATGCGTCGATCACGTCGCACACCTCTCTTTCCCACTCACTACCGTAATTATATTCTCTAGGGAATACGCTCCAGAACTCTCGTATCTGATCTACTTATCAGAAAGCTCAGAGATGCCTCTTGCTCACAGGAGAAATTGGCTGGGAGTGAGATGCATTTCTAAATTTTTATCTTACGTGAATCCCAATATTCATTCCGTAATGAAGTTGCATGATACATATATTCAATATCCTACATATTGGCAGCTCAATTGTCTTTCCCCCAACCTTACTGCATATATAAGATTAATACCCCATATCCCAGATATTATGCTGCTTCCCAATTTTCCTTGTTACCGCTATAGTTTACATGGTCAAATCTTTCCAATTCCCCAACACGAAATGAATCTCTCCAAAGATAACGACAACCACCAGAATTTTCTTAGACTCGCCGAGCAACAATTTGTCACACATATTTTTTCACCGATGTATATAAAGATGAACGCGGTAACGTTGGGATTTCCACACTACCTACACCATTCTGGACGATTACCATTTTTCTTTTCAATATGTGCAGCTGAAATAACAGCCATCTCAGAAGCAGTTCAATATATTGTTGAGAACGATATCAAAAGCGCAAAATTTCCCGGTCAACCATATCTGCAAATAGCGATTACCTTTCATTATGTACCAGACAAATTATATATAGAGCCGTCACAAAGGGAAACAGCATACATTTGGCATGGATTCCTAGTAATTCCAACATCAAGGGTAACGATACAGCCGATACCTTAGCCAATATCGGAAGAAACCGTCCCCTCTCTAATCATTCTCAGGCAGACTATAGAGAGTTTCAAGCATTATTGAAACAATATCTGGATAGACTGGACCAATCAATATAGCCAGGACGGACAATTCAAAGCCAAACTTTACTTTTCCTCTGTGCCACAGTCTTACAAAACTCCATGGTTCAAAGATCTGGCTACTTGTTCTCTTAACGAAATCGTCAATATGTGCAAAATTAGGAGCAATCATTCCCTTAATAAAGCGCATCTCCACAAACTTGAGATAGTTGATGACGACCGCTGCAAATGTGGGGACATATAGATTCTCCTACATATATTCTTTGCCTGTTCTAACAATTCTCACAATATACAAATGATTCATGCTTCTCTCAGCATCCCTCCTTCAACAATTCAGCCTCTTACCTTCCACGATATCTTTTTCAAACATATATCACCATCTAACATACAAACCATATCCAAATTCCTGATTGCATCCAATATAAAGCTGTAGTGATCAAGAGAGACCTAATACTTGTGCGCATGCAGTACTTCCCCTATCATGCCCTGATCGTAGTGCTCATACACGTAACCGTAGTGCATCACCTCACATTAGTGCCCACACTCTAGTGTAGTCGGACATTGCTTGTTAATTGACTTCAAATTACAGTTGAACTTTGTTTTTTAGCGCAAACCCAGGTGGGGTTTGGGTTCGACTCAGATCCACTTCAGTGTGAGCTCCACCTGTAGCAACAACATGATTCTGGAACTCATGGCTGGATAGTCTTGGCAGTTGATGTCATTAATGGAAAAAATAATAAGAAGAAAATGACAAGTAGGTACTATCACAGCATAGGTAACAATTGTTACCTAAGCCATAGTATACTTATATATATAGTATACCGTGCCTATGTTGTGGTACTATTTTCACTGAATTGATGTATTCAATGTTGTTCGTTGTTACCATAAAAGAAATTGAATAATTCCTGATTTGAAAATTTCATTTTATATTTTCATACGAATTGGTAAAGCGGCAAACATCAAAACATCATGCAGCAAAGGGAAGAGAAACAATTAGAATCGGCCTTAGATTCTATTATCCAAAGAGTTAATGATTTGAAACAGTCTATTGCTTCAATGATCATGAAATTGGAGAATGAATATGAAACAATGAATTGGCCGTCTTTTTTAGATAATTATGCACTGATATCAGGGCAGGTGAGTAATTCTGTTATAACTCTGTTATATATTTCATCTTGATACCATCTTTGCAGCTCACTTCATTATCCAAAGTTATGAGTCATGACAAGTGTCCAGTGCTGAGGAATTTAACAGTTCTACCTCTGATGTTATCTCCAGAGAGGGATGATCAGCTAGCACAAATAACTGAACATAGAGTGACAACATTCGCACATGATTTGGTACCTGATTATCTGAGAACAAAACTGGAACCACTAGCTGAAACTAAAATGATGCAATTAGAAACTAAAGCATTAGGTCTACAGTACGATAATGCACAGGTAAAGTATGTTTGTCTGAAATACATCAAAACAATTCTATCTGATATTTTCATAATTTGTTTAGAAACAAATAGCCACATATCAAAAGGTTGTCTCTCACGTATGGGATATCGTCAGCAAAGCAAGGGAAGAATGGGAAGTTGAATCTTCATCTAGGGGAAATGCTCAACAAAATTCAAGTGTTGCCGATACCCATCTCTTGGTTGCTGCTGTAGGTATGGGCAAGGGTCTCAAGGTAGTACTTCTCATCTTGTGTTAGTGCACTTTATTAACATTTTTGTTTTCAGATGGGACCCAATCCAAATGGACAACCAAACCCTACTTCAGGTGGAATGATGGTAGCCCCACCAGGAAGACCAGGGGGCCCACCAGGCCAAGGACAAGTTCCATCAAACACTCAATCAATGACTATGAACAAAGCCCCATCAGCTATCAAAACAAATATAAAAAGTGCTGCTCAAATGCATCCTTATGCTCGAAATTAGCTATTCAAAAGTTATATTTATTAATTATTTATTCATATTACTTTCCAGTTTATCCATTTTTAGGTTTCACACAGTGAACCAATGTGAATCAATTGTAAATACTTTTTTCACCCTACCATCTATTTAGTGTATTAGTATGTGGATTTTTTATAATAACAAGATGCACACTTAATCAAATTAAAAAACTTATTTCCATTAGATTTTGAAATTATTTCACTTGTTGCAATCTTTTCTAACCTCGTCATTTGTCTTGCTCGGAGATCTTAGAACTATTCTAATCTGTTTTACCACATGACTTGTCTATATTTATAGTCAGGAAGAACAATCCAATCAATGGAAAAAGGAAAACTCTATTATAGGCCAATTGCTATATATCAATCAATATCAGCAAAGATCAACACGTAATCTTTACTTTTTTCACCATGTTTTGAAACAGGACATCAAGAAGCACAGAGTGTCTCAGGCTGTTGCATTTGATATTTCCAAGGCCTTTGTCAGTGAATGTTATAAACGCTTACTAATTCAACTTATATAATTTTCAGGGGGATTAATTTGTATATCAAAGTATGTGAGTATATATATTACAATACTAATGTGAAATGTATTGAATGTTTAAGACAAACAATGATCCCAAACACCACAACTGCAACACTCTTCTCGATGTGTGTTTTAGCAACCAAGTTGGCATCTTCAGGAAATTTCACTGATTCATAACTCGAAAACTAGTCTCTATATTTAACCTGGTACATTTTTGGACAAACATCCATGATTTCAAGTGGGAAAAAAAATCAAATGATAGAAAGATGTTTTATAAATATCTGAAAACAGACAAAAGAAATAATGTGATATTGGACAAGTCAAATTACTATGAGAGAATTAATAATTTAAGTAAGAATGGCCCATATAATAAATTACCAAGGAATCCATTGCCTAAGATGGTTACAGAAGTGAAAAATACACTCAAAAGTTTCAAAATTTGATTGCGCTAATTTCGAACAGGAGTCTAAAGATTTCTAATCCTACTAGTCCTAAAATATGCTATTTAACAAAAATTCATAAATCTGGTAAATCAATTAATGGCCACAGCAATGAATTCCCCTATGGCTAGCAAAATAGTTTAAAACCCTTAGTTGAGTTTACGTTTTGATAATTCACATGAATTCATGGATGAATTTGAAGATGTGAAGTTGCATAATGGAAAATTATTATTATCATTTCATGTATCCTTGTTGTTTCCAAGTATCCTTTTACTAAAAACTGTTGATTATTTTAAGGATCTTGTGAGGTTCAATGGTCTCTCACAATTCTGTCCCAATTTGTTGAATACAGAGGACACAAATCGGATGAATACCAGTGGCGCTCCACAAGAAAGCAACCCAACTTCTAGTCTATTCTCCCTGTTCACCAACGACATAGGATTAAATATAGATAGTGAAATTCTATTATTTGCTGAACATCTGAAGGTTTTAGTATCATGGAGTCTTCTAATGAAAACGAAATACTACAAAATAATTTGAATAAATTAGTTCTCTGGGGTTCTTCAAACAATCTTCCACTCAATTTAAGTAAATATACCACCTTTTATAACAAACATACCACTATTGACTGGTAAAAACAAACAGCTGCAATGACTTCGGAGTATGTTTTGATACCAACTCTCATTCGCACTTTACATAGATAAAAGTATAACTGCTGTGAAAATAATGTTAGGGCTCATGTTCAGAAATTGTAGATTTCAAAGTCATGGAAAGTTTTACTCTACTCTACTTAACTTTGTTAGATCCCGCTTAGAATATGGCTGGTCACCTAATGGATTAGATACAATATGAAGTTTCAAAATAAAACACTCGTCTCATTACCTCATCAGCGTCTTTCTGGATAATATCACAAGTTTTCCATAATTTTTATAAAGATGAAGAAATTAGATAGCCAAAAAGTTTTTCACCAAAAACATATCTCGTCTGAAAAATGTACCCCTTTCAATTTAAACAAGATTCCATGGCTAGGATTGAATCATATAATCGTCGGGATGTCTTCACATACTGTCATCGAGGCAGCATAAAGTAATGGTATATTATCCAGAAAGGTACTGATGAGGAAATAAGACAAGTCTCATTTCGAAACTTCGAAGTCCGCCATTTAGGATGAGAGGATATGATAGTGTTCCATGTAAGTGAAATTTTATATTGTATCTATTTCATATATGTATTATATTGTGTAGCATTTTCAAGAATGATAGCTGATTCAATTCCGTAAAGAATGTTAGGGAGTACCAGCTGAATAGGGAAAAGTGATTTTCATATAATTCAATGTTTATTTCAACTTATTTTTTCATTCATATAATTATGTTCATGTGAAAGTAGTTGTTCTGGGAGGGCTTTTTTCTTCCACTTTTTATCTGAAAGTATCTTCTATGTATTATCTACACACCTTTGTAAAGGTTTTATTTTGAACTTAATTGTTTTTCTCCTTTTCGAAAATTCCCACAATTTTTGTATAAAGATGGAGAAGTAGAAAGCCAAAAACCTTTTTTTCAAACCTGAATTTATTTTCCTGGTAGTCATGTCTTGCGATGACCCACTTTGTATTGATTGAAATGGAAAGTGAGAGAACTCTGTTTCAATTTGTTGTACTGGGTGTTATTCGTTGAGGAACCCCAGGAAAACAAGAATATGTAGTGGTTACTAGAAATATTATTGAGTATGCAAAAAAAATTACATCTGTAACCATTGAAGATTCATAACATTGAAAAAATTCTGAATTTGCACTTAAAAGAACGATATATAACATATAAAAGGCATATAGCAGGTGTTTGATGAATCAACAAACTTGAAGTGTCACTATTTTTATTCGGGTTTTACGGCCGTCGATTTTTGAAATTTCTTCCTGACATTTTGCTGGCGCTAGTGGCAAACTTCCTCAAAGGTTCATACATCTTGAGTTTATCTCCAATGACTTGAAATTAGAGAAAATATAATGGATTTCTTTCTCAAAAGAAAGACATACTTTTTGGTTACTTAAGAATATTACAGCATTTAGATTTCATTTTCATTTTTTATTTTATCATTTCATGATAATTATTTCAACTGAATATTGTCACCACTGAGAAGTGGTGACAAAGAAGGTATAATGACGTCACTTGTTATTTAATATATTTATAAAATCAGAGTTGACAGGCTACTTTGAATTGATGCATTATTAGAAACCCCAACATTATAATGTATTATTTATTGCAATGAATCTACAAAATAACTAAAAATAACAGCTGAAACAAAAATACATTCAACAATAAAGTAAAACTATGAAAAGTATTTGAATGACAAAGCAAAATTATAAACTGAACCAGCTAGTCAGAAAAACGGAACTCGAATTAGCCAGAAGTGAATTCATAAAAACAGTCACCTTCTTCAAATCAAATAGCTACCTTTGAAAACAGGGACGTCTCTTTCAAATAATCAATTTCAGATACTTCACCGTTCCATGAAACCTAAACACAAATAAATTGAAAACAATAAAATGAATCCAAATCTGTTAACATCAACTTTCAAATTACCAAGTTGATTAGGATTATCAACCAATGCAGTAACTGAAATTTACATTAACAAAAAATTTAAAAAATCACATTTAACATACAACGAATAAAATAACCGAATCTTAAACGGAATAATTTTTTATAGGTCTTATCATGATTGCATGAAGAGCAAAATTAAGATGATTGGCTTCAATACCTAACAAAGAATATAGGATAAAAAAATAACTTGTGTCTAATTTCTACTACGATTTTAGTTTGTTATGACCGATTTCGGTTAATTAAACCATTTTCAATTAAATTTAAAATGGTTTAATAAATCAAATTGGTCATCAAATCGAACAACCTAACAACGAATTGAAAAGTGATTCTTGAATTGTTTGTTATTACTTCAAAGGTCTTCTCAAAATTGTAAAAAAAGTAAAATTAAAATTCAAGAATCCACTATAATATAAAAAAAATACTATGAAACTGGAACTAATTAGGTCACTTTTTAACTGTGTTTTATAAAGATGTCAGAAAAAAAGATGTACAATTAAAAACTTGTATGGTATTAGCCAGTTTCGTAAAACATGAGTATTTTGAAAATTATCAAAGAAATCATAAACACTTTGACGTTTTCTGATTGATTTGGCTGTTACTTGACGAAGATCTATAGTAATTTCAAAAATTACACCTATCTTATTACATAAATACAGTAATTAAAATACTGACCAACAGTAACACTGTACAGTAAAAATTTCAAATATTCATATTTTAAAAAACATTTTCTCATTATATATCTTATTTTCATTATTGCACGGAATTAAATGACACTGAAATAAATATTATTTCCATAAACACTTCCACATTCTATTCAAGTTCACTTTCAAATTTCTACCTCTTTACAAATCACATTCACTACAGATTAAAAATATCTGTTAACATTCAATAGCATTTTCTCTCAAATTTAGATAAGACAAGTATGAAGTATTACGACAAAGGCACGCAATTCAACTTTCTCGTTAGTCAGTACTTTAACTGAGTAGAATTAACAAAAAAAGGAGTATTGTTCAATTTTTTCAAATAAGATTGTCTATGCACATCTAGTCTAATCTGGAGGTAGATAACTGAAAAGCTTGAACTTATTTCGAATATGGGGTCTCACATCTTCCTTCTGAAAAAAAAAAAAAATCATGATGATGTGTATTTAAATTTTTCATTGATTTCATATATATTCTGTCATATACATTTCAACTGGTAATACATGTATGTATGTAATATACAATAGTATATTACATACCAAGTAGGATAAGTGGTCAATTACCCACGAGCGAAAAGCACAAGGCGTTAGCCAAGTGCGATAATTTGCAAGTCTATGTAAATGGCCTTATCTTCGAGGTGCGTACTATACTTTTTCTACGACTGACCATAGAAAGAGATGGTACAATATATTTGTTTGAGATATGGCTTTGGATAATAAACTCATTCAGTCAGTCAGAACTCAATTAAATGATTTAAAAATTGGTGACAATATTTCCTAAAAATTATTTTATTAGGGTTAATTTTTTGTTATGATTATGTACATTTAGAGTTACATTATTACAATTATTTAATGTTATTGTGCCGTCGTTGTGGGAGGAAGACAGTATTATTCAGTTTTGTTGACAATTTGAAACAGTGGGAGTATAAATGTTTTCAATACTATTCATGAGTACATTTTACCACTACCCACCGAGAAATAATAATATGTAATTATATCATTTACATAAAAAAACTTCTAGTATAAACACAATTTAGTTTAGCACATGAAACTATTTTGATGAATAAATACTGCCATTAATCTTTTATGGGAAAATTGGCAAAAGGTATATATTAAACAAACAAAACAATTAACAGGTGCCTGAAGAAACAACACCATTATTATTTGGAAAATGTTAGTAAAATTTTATTGTGGCATACATCATAATTTCAACTTCGATGAAGAGATTATATGTATTCAAGTTATATTTTTGTAAACAAAGAATAATTACAAGTCTTGCATTAGCTATTTCAGACTTCAAAATCTCAGAATTCCATTATTTAGTTACTTCAAATCATACTTCCTTCCTGATTTTTCTAAAGATGTTTCAAAATGAAGATAATTAATTAACTATCACTTACCACTTCCACTAGACCTTCTAGAAATGGTAACAATTTGATAAGTTCTGAATCACTCCTATCCTCAAACCAACTTTCAATTGGAATACCATTGTTGAGCTGAGGATCAAAATGAAAATATTAATTACATTTTCCCAATCCCTAATCGACTTACTTACATGATATCCAAAAGCTTGAGGTGAGTTATCAATGATAATAGTTTTGGAAAGATCTCTTCCTAGAATGGACAAATCTTTTATGTAATTTCCATTAACACAAACACAGTGTTCTCTGAACAGGCGGTATTTAATCCACTTTCTCTCTGGATCAAGAAGATTCAGCAATTTATCAGCATACACTCTTTTTGAAGCAGTAAACAGAATAACTTCAAACATTTGCGAAACTCTCTCCATGAATTCTCTGAAATACGGTCGGGTTCGTACATATACTGTATAGGAACAATCCTGGAAGAGCACAGGGAAATGAAAACTGGCATCTTTCAGTTCCTGGAGACTACAATGTACCAAGGTTTCATCAAGGTCGAGCACCTGGAAATTGTCAAATCAAAAGATTTGAACATTTTATTAGCAAAGTCTTGTGAAACATGAAATGTGTATATGGTGCATTACCAATCACAAAAAAATAATACAAATGTATCAATGAGTACATGAACAGAAAATTAAGATGAACTTAACAGAAAAAAACATAAATAACACAAACATATCAATATACATAAATGAATAAATACACATCAAGGAAATGAATAGCAGAAGATCTTTACAAAGAAAATGATAAATCAATAACCAAACTAATACTGTAACCTCAACTATCTTTTACCATCTGAAAACTAAGGATACTCTGGATTTTCAATGTTTTTTCAAAATTTCTCTTTTTCTATATAAACTGAAAAAATTATATATTCCGAAGATGGCAACAACAAATTTCATTTCACATTTATTTATTGTGATATTTTCATTGGACAGTTTACCTCAACATGTGTTTCGCTATAAAATAACTTCCCCAGTATGAAAATACTTGAGATAGAGATCAAACACTTTTTATAAATGTTGTATATGTTCATTTATATTTCACACTGTATAGGTCACATTTTACCGATGTGTGTAGACAGTGAAGTCTGTCATTCGGTTATCACTTTTGTCATATGCATTTTTGTAATAAAGTATTACGTATTTCTTAACAAGGATTTACATATACAATAATAAATATAAATACATTTACATATATTTTTATACTTGTGATGCACTGTTTAGAACCTTTGATGTAGTAATGAATATTACTGGAGTTTTTTCCCAATACCAAACTGTTATTTTAACACCTTGACACGTGTTTCGATCACTAAGTGATCATCTTCAAGAGGAAGACTAAACAGTTCAATTTTCCTCTTGAAGATGATCACTTGGTGATCGAAACACATGTCGAATTGTCAAAATAACGGTTTGGTGTTAGGAAAAAACCCCATAAATATCTTTGAAAAGACACCTTTTTGAAACGATCTATTGATGGTAAAAATTAATGGTTTTATTTCATCATTTATTTCCATCATATTGATGTAATTATGGATATTTTTATCGAAACAATCTAGTAAAATATCTTTGCAACAGATTTTCAATTATTCTCCAAGTGCCTATTGAATATCATACTTACTATACAATTTTATTACTATTATTCATTTATTGAGATGGGAAATGAAATATTTTTTCACAAATACAAATTAAACCTAACCTAACAATTCAATATAAGTCAAGTAGGTACTAGGCGTGAAATTTAAAGAGTGTTATGTTTTTAAAAGACATCTGAATGTATATGCAGTCACTTAAAATCAATCCCATGTATAAAATAAAAACTCACCAAACTGAATTCTGGACTAGATCGCGTTTTCAAGGGTAATGCAGGACATTTTGACCTCATTTCGAATGTTAACGGAGGCAAATGTTTAATGAATAAATAGGGATCAAAAGCCTCCCAAGTATCCTCAACTTCGACATGCTCTGGTTGCCTATCAAGCCGTTCTGCTTCTTGTGCCGAAACACTCGATATCATATGATTATCCGGAATAGTTGATGGATATAGAGTTGTGTAATCATATACAACATTTGCTATGTTAACATTCTTTGACATTTCTTCATCCAGTAAGTTATTGAACTCCTGAGTGTTGACATTACTGAAGTCGGTCATATCTATTTGAAGATCTGGGTAGTCATTTTTCAATGGAGGGTATTCGTAATACATACTCTCACATATTTTCTCGGTAAAAACTCCATAATTGTACTTATCTTTTTGGTAATCACAAGCTTTTTTTTCAGTTAGATGAAATTGCATTTTTTCTTCATAATTTTCTGACATATTTCCCATTCCATTTAATTGAATGGTTGAAAATTCAATTTCTTTAGGAAGATCTGGGTTTGTTGTTTCCGAAGAAATTTGATAAGAACTTGTGCCAGAGATGGCATTATCAAAATATGAATAGCATTGATTTGGGGTCGACATATTACCAACATGGGGAACATCATTCAATGTTTCAACATTTTTATCAACAGGCACCTCGTATATCTCAGGAACAACCTGCGCCTGATAGTTTTCTTTACATTCAACTGAGATATTTTTAGGCGGCAGTTCCTTTCCTTTGGAAAATTTCTTCTTGGAATTTCTTATGCAAGTTGCATATAGAGATATTGTGCGTGATTTGGGAACCCAACCATTTTTACGAAGAGTTTTTTTGGATTTTTTATTTGTGCATATCGGAAACCTGTGAAATCCTCTGCTTCGCTTTTCGCTACGGAGCCACATATTGCTGACCCATTTATACTGGAATATAAATTCAAATGTGAAAACAAGAATATCTTTCCTATGATACACAATTTTCAACTCAGAAAATAAAAATGAATAAAACAATCTTTTTAATACCTTCATATATTTTAACGAGCAAAATTTTATCAATATGAATCAACAAATTATATTATTGAAAATTATTCAGAAAGAAGTGAGTTTGCTCCATAAAAATTTGCATACCATATGCTAATCAAATAAACTCAGAATATAATTTATAGTTGACAAGGTCATCTAGAATTACTGATGATGCACATGCATTTGTTGCAAGAGTTAAGAGAGATTTTGAGGAACTCGATGGAGTTTAGAAAAATTATTCGGGAAAATGATGCCTAATATGCATTATTAGGTAACGAAAAATCCCCATTCTCCTATTTGCATGAACCATTCCCATCACTAAACGTTTGGGGTGGAATTATCGTAAAACAAGTTATCAGATCGTATTTTTTATGGTCATTTTACTGGAAGGAAATACGTCAGAATTATTTGGGATGTGCTTTCAATTTTATAGGACAATGTTCCATATGGAACAAAACTCTAAATGTGGCTACAAAAAAACAGTGCATCATTTCAAAACTGTAGTACGAGAATACCTCAATGATCTTTTATATAAAAAATGGATAGGGAGGGATGGGCCAGCAGATCATTTAACTCTAATAAAATTGATTTTTAATGGGAGTTTATTCAATGGATCATCTACGAAATTCATTTAGATTGGTATAAATATGGTTTATCTGTCTTTCCCAGATTTAACTTCCATCTAAATGAGACCCAAGGAATTTTGCTTCTGCATACTCCTGGACATCACAGCTACTGTTTTCGAAGCATTGAGTATCAATTTATTTCTTTGACACTGAAATCCTCAACAACATAATCTGGGATTGAGTTGGCCATTTGATATATATTGGGGAAAATAATTCATATTTAGCAGAATCAGTTATGGTTCACTAACTGATCTCCGGGTCATACCAAGTTTTCCACCCTGAGAAACAGACATTGAACTATTATATGAAACATCCATTCTTCTCTCCGTCGTGTGAGACTTCATTATGAGTATCCTAACAATCAAAAAAGAAATATTCAGTTAACACTAGCTGGTCACTCCACCTAACAAGAAACAGGAATAATTCTGTAATCGACCCTCGTGAGAAAAATGACTCTTGCCTCGGACCACAAATTTATCAGATAATCAATCATCAAAGAATCAATCAAAGAAAATCATAAATTCAGTTAGTGATCCAATAATTTTTCTGAAGAAAGCTTCATAGGGTAACAGCATCAATTAAAAAAAAAAACAATTGTTTTCTTGCCAAGGTGTCTTTCCCTAGGTGCATCTGACCAGCATCAGTGCAATCTCTACCTTTATTTCAATTCTTTCCAGGTCAACCTGGGATCTAGTATTGTGTCTATTATCATATCCTATCTGTATAATTATTTCAATTTCCCTATCTAGATTAATATATCCCCACACCAAACAACCAGAAATCGAGAAATTTGTAACTTCAACATATTTTGGTAAAAGAACAGAAACAATTGCGGGATTTTTCTTCTGAAAAAACAATGTGGAAGTGGCATTCAGGTCGCATGCTAGGTTATCTAATTTCCTTTTTAATGCCAAAGATAAACTGGAAAAGATGGAGAAATCTGGAGTTTATGAGCTTAAGTGTCCGAAGTGTAATAGCGTTTATGTGGGACAAGGTAATAATAATTTGAGGTTTTCAAACTATTCCTTGGAATGCAACCACAAGTTCCCAAATCTAAACGATACAGATATTTTGCACTATACAAGCAAGGATTGGAAACTCAATTATTTGGAATCCTTGGAATCTATAAGCATTGCAGATGCTACTTGCCTACTGAATCACCAAATCTACCTAGTGTGCCCACATTGTCACAGGTAAATAATATTATATATTCTTTATTTCATATAAACATTTATATATACAACACACTATATACATATATAAGGTACATACAAATATTGAAAGAAAGAGGTCAAATAAAAACAATAATTTTTAGTTATTTGCTTCAAAATATTCTTTCAAATCATATGGTTCTAGATTCAACAGAAGTTGTTTCACTTTATTCTTGCGTTCTGATAGACATGAGATTGTTTGGTAATTTATTAAGTATTCTGATAGACATATATGAAGTTAATATTAAATGTTTGTTTATTACAGTTGGAAAATTTACTGTAAAAACCTCCTTGTGCTTATGTAAAAATGTTAAACATTCTAATAGATATAGTGCAGAGGCTGTTAAAATTTGTTTTTCTTTCAATAAACTTCTGCAGGGTTGTCTAAAGAAGGGCATTTATTTATTTATTTATTTATTCAATGGCAAAGCCAATTTACAAAAACATATTTAACAAAGTGTGAGGAACAACAAAGTATTATTGAATGCTCATGTCTGATATTTACATTTCAATTTTACAAAACATTTAACGAAGTGTGAAATACAAAATATTAATAAATCCTTATGACTAGTGACTACATTACTAAAAGATGAAACAATTCTAGTACTTACAAGAAAAAAAATATGACAAATCTGATACTTACAAAGAAAATGGTAAGGTAAAGAAAAGTTTCGAAAATATTGGACTTCTAATTTTAGTGAATGAATGATTTGACATTCATCAATGTTTACCTCTAACAAAATATTTCTTCACCACATGGAAAAGGCTTCGAGATCTTTTAGACCTAATTCAGCATCTTCCCGGCAAGTAATTGCTCGATAAAGTTTGAAATCATCAGCAAACATAAGAAATTCTGAATATTTGAAAACAAACTCTATGTCCGATACAAACAAGTTGAACAGCAGTGGGCCCATTTTATAGATACTTAGTTCTCAAAACTATGGAATTATGTTCTGTTCCCCAGAACATAATTCCATATCTCAACACTGACTTAAAATTTGCATGGTACAGACTCTTTACGGTTTTTTCGTTCATGTATTTTGATGTAGTTCTGACTGCATAAATGACCTTGTTCAATTTTTGATGAACATAATCAGTCTGCCTATTCCATTTCAGGAAATTATCTATATTTACTCCTAAAAATTTTGTGTATTCAATGATTTTTGTTTCACTGCTCTGCCAATTTATACTCACTGGTTTCTCTTTTCTACACCTGTCAGTACTAAAAATCATCAAATTTATTTTATTTGCATTCATTCAACAGTAATTAATTATTATCGGTACTCAATTAAGAACCGTCTGTTATTACCTTGCAATCAACGCATATACCATTAACAATGTTCCAATTGACCATGATCTACCAGTCCGGATTTTGTTCTCTCTAATTGTGACTCGCCATGAAGGCCATGTTCTCCTATGAAACTACTACTAGTTTTTTATACTTAGGTAATTTTTTGTGTTTGTGACAAATTGTGAATGTTTCTTTACCACACAAATGTATGTAACATAATTGACATGTTCTATACCCAACGATCTTTAGATGAAATAAATTATTCTGATGGCTACAATATACTATATAACATGTACGAGTTAACATTGCCTATCCAGGACACAAGGCTAATGACCAATGTAGTCGATGCCAATGACACAAAGAAAAAAAACATGTATAAGTTTTAATAGAAAACACTTAAAATGTACAGTAAAAGCATGGCTGATTAAAAAAGCTTGATATGTTTATGATTTTTTTCAGCACCCATGCTCAGAAGTAATATTTTTTATTGTTTGTATCTATTAACTTCAACTGTAGTAGTAGTACTTAGTAGCAAGCGAATATAAAGAAAGTAACTTTTCATTCGGTGGTTGATGTCAAAGTTTGATGCCAATGACACAAAGAAAAAAAACATGTACAAGTTTTAATATAAAACACTTAAAATATACAGTAAAAGCATGGCTGATTAAAAAAGCTTGATATGATGTTTATGATTTTTTTCAGCACCCATGCTCAGAAGTAATATTTTCTATTGTTTGTATCTATCAACTTCAACTGTAGTAGTAGTACTTAGTAGCAAGCGAATATAAAGCGGTGGTCGATGTCAAAAGTTTGACTTGTCAAAGTTTGACTAGAAGAAATTGCACTTAAAGTATGAAAATGATTTTTTAGCATTCAATTTTTTCTGTTCTAATATGTTATTTGTATTACTGTTGTTAATTATAATTTTTTTGAAGTTTTAAAAAACTTCTCAAATGAAAATTATTTTGTTATAATTGTATGTTTACTCATATTTGAGAATTAGAATAAAATGACCTGTTAGTCAATTGGTCCACTAAGTTGGTTTTCAACTCAAAAATTAAAAATATTTCAGTTGTAAAGGAAGTTGAACCACTTGTTTAGGCTAGTATCCTGAGGATTTGGACCAGACTTAATATCAAAGAAAATAACTCCAAAAATGAAATTTCCCATAAATGGACATTTGAGAGTCAGGCTAACAATATACAAAAATCGGAAATTTAAGTAATATCAAACATAGGTTCAATGATCAGATATCTGAATTTTCTCTAGTAATCAATATTGACCTTGGAAATTGTTCTGCCAGAATTAGAATATACCACCATGACAAAAATGTGTAGTGTGTACTAAAAACTGAACCAATTTGTGTTAGAAAATGAAAAGTATTTGATTGAATAAATATTGGAGCAGCAGGAATACCTAGTTATCAACATAAAAGTTTTTGTGAAAACATAAATTCTAGGCAATTATAAGTAATTGCAAATCTCATATCACAATCATACTAGTTAGCACCTGTGATTCAAATTAGGTATTGATTTTACTTCAACTAGGAATGATGTAATTATAATAGTAAATCTACCGCGAATGTAGCCTCAATTATAAATGGATACTCTTGATGCCAGAAATAAGATAAAAATTTGTAAAATTCAAAATAAGCTAAAATAACCCCTATTGATTTTATGAATGAGGTAAAGTTTCCTATGTTGAAAATAGGCGTCAACGCTCTTCCCGCCTTGTCAAAGAATCAAAATAAACAAAAAAATACTGTTTAAACAACAAAGTTAATAATAAATAATCTTTTGATACTTGTATACCCATAAAATGTCTTATAGTTTTTACAGAATCAAAAACTGTTTACAAACATAGAAGCCGCATCTGAAAATATTCATTTATATTTTCTCGAGTTCATCCTGAAGAAGTACAACAATAAAATATTCATCACCAACTCACCTTGATAATTCGGAAGAAAGATACTGATTTAATCAGTTGATTTAAATTAATTAATCATCGAAACATTTTCACGGCATTAAAACACAAAGCGCTTTATCAAAATGGCGGCCCACGCGATTCTGATTGATATTTTTTGTATTGCACATGCGCCGAGGCGAACCGGTTTGCAGGTGATACAGGTGAAAAACGAAATTCAGGTGTATTACAGACAACTTGCAATAAGATCGCGAATTTGGGATTATTTTCCTGTTTCACTATTAATTTTGAGATTGCAGATTTGTTGACTTTAATGCTGATTTCTCCATTTCAGAACCATTCCCAAATATGAATGATGACGTGTAAAAAAATAAAAAACGCGAACGCGATTCAAGAAATAGGTCTTGTTGTCCTATTATATTTTCCATTTGTCTTTCAACTTTCATTACATTTATCGAAATGGATTTTTTTAGTGAAATATGTAGATTTTTTCATTTAGGCACGCACCTATCTAAAATTAACGAATAACAAAATAGAAAACAAATTGTTTCCCGCCACTTCTTTCGAAAACAACAGGAAAGTGTTGTGAATGTGGAGTGTCAAAACCATGTCATGTGTCTCACAAAGGAAAAACCTTTGAGAGGTTTATGGCACAGGGACGAATCAAGGAGGAATCATTTGTTATAAATTGATGGATGTAGCCGTAACTACGTGGTAGGAGATCATCATGAAAAATGAGAATTGAAACTTTCTATGTTTTTATTCCACTTGTATTTATAACTATCATTATTGCAGTTTCTTCCTACAAGGACATTTCCAAATATTTTATTGTATTCAGTGATAAAAAAAATAATTCATAGACGCGCCTTTTTCCCCCGCGGATGGCACCCCAGATGAAATATTCAAAAATCCTTCCTTATTGCACATCTAAAATGTAAAACGAACCTACATTCTAAATTTCAGCCTCCGAAAATATAGCGTTACGAAGAAACAGTGGGGAAGCCCCAGTTGGAATATTTTAAAATCCTTTCTTATTGCACATCAACAACATAAAACGAACCTACATACAAAATTTCAGCCTCCGAAAATATAGCGGTACGGAGAATCAGTGATGAATAGGAACCTTCCAATAAATTGATGGATGTAGTCGTTACTACGTGGTAGGAAATCATAATGAAGAAAAGAGAATTGAAACTTTTTATGTTTTTTACTGCAGTTTCGTCCTATAAGGACATTTTCATACTTATACATCAAACTCCACCCGCGGCTGGCGCCCCAGGTGGATCATTCGAAAATCCTTCCTAACTGCATATCTACAACATAAAACAAACCTACATACAAATTTCAGGATTCGAAAATAGAACGGTACGGAAAAACAGTGATGATAAGTAATTTTCATATGTAACGCTTCCCGTTTATCCCCAGTAAGGGCTCTCTCTCCAGTTGGAATATTTGAAAATTCTCTCTTGAAAATGAAAACGAACCTTTATACAAAATTTTAGCCTCCGAAAATATAGCGGTACGGAGAATCAGTGATGAATAGGAACCTTCCAATAAATTGATGGATGTAGTCGTTACTACGTGGTAGGAAATCATAATGAAGAAAAGAGAATTGAAACTTTTTATGTTTTTTACTGCAGTTTCGTCCTATAAGGACATTTTCATACTTATACATCAAACTCCACCCGCGGCTGGCGCCCCAGGTGGATCATTCGAAAATCCTTTCTAACTGTATATCTACAACATGAAACGAAAATAAATAAAAAAATTCAGCCTCTGAAAATATAGCGGTACGGAGAAACAGTGATGAAAAGGTAATTTTCATATGAAAACGCTCCTCTTTTAGTCCTACGGGGGGCGCCCAGTTGGAATATTCGAAAATCCTTCCTAAGTGGGCATCTGAGACTTAAGAAACACATATATACCTAATTTTAGCTTCCAAGGACTTACCAGTATGAAGAAACAGAGATGAATAAGTATTAAGTGAGTGACTTTCGCATTTATAAGTATAGAATGAATATGTTGAGATTCAAATTCTACATATACAATCAACTGACAACCGTTTATTATTTATATCTGAACTTTATTTATTCCGATTTTTCTTGAATTATCCAGCAGATATCGTCTCATAGTCATACGTTGTCAATCATCTGAATCAATGAACCAATAATCGGAAATCATTTCACCTACTACAAATGATGAGTACATAATGTTTTCTGAGTTCCTTTCTCTTCCAAAAATTTGCAATCACGGAAGATATTTTTCATCTCTTGGATGAATTTTCTTGATGTAATCCAGCCAATAAAAAAGTACCAACCCAGTTGTCGGTTATTTTCATAGCAATTCCTAATAGTTTATGAGCAGTCGAAACTATTTTTGACATAATCTTCAATAGATGCCTGAGTCATCAAATTTGGTATTTATCAAGGCTTTTAACAAACCGACACGTCGAGTCAGACCAAAAACTTTTTGAAGATCATACCATACTTGTTTGATGGTTTTGCTTTTTGAGCATGGATGTAATTTACAGGATCAATGAAAAAAATAATTTTTTATTTAGCTTTGATATTTTTTTAATAGCGAACTTGTTCTCCTGCGACACAGTTCCTTGTGTTCCAGCAAAGTTTTTTCAGAAAATTTCCAGATGTCATAGTTTATCAATCAACGAAAATGCACTGTTCGATTACATTTCATTTGACTTCTTCCACAGATCGATATCGGTTTACAAAATTATAACGGTGAGAATTTAATTCTGGGCCCAAAACTTGATGAAATATATTATTTTAGTGGATCGATGAGAATTCGACAATTGGAATATTTGAGAAGAATTATAAAAGACAGAACAAATAATGGCCGTAGCAGTCGATGTGGTTGATACAAAAAAAAAACAATTTCATGTGAAACAATCTCAAAAAATAATTTAAAAAATCGTTGTTTGGAATTTACTAAAGGAAATTCACTAATTAGCTAATACAGTCCTGTTTGAGAAAAACCCAAGTGAGGCACGTTCTTTACAAAATTGCAGTAAAAAGAGATAGAATTCAATTGAGTAAACGGATGAAGGGGGTTAGTGTGGTATCAACGGAAATCCCGGTATTTTTGCATTTAGTCATATTTGTTCTTGCTTATGATAAGTTAGTCTAGATTTACTTACGTGAAGTGAGTAAGTTTCAAAATGGTGATTATATATTCTAATGAGTTTAACCCAGCTACCTTAAAATTAATAGTAGCAAAAAATTTTGCCAAAGTGGCAGTTGATATAAAAATTGTTGATCCACATGGTAAGTTATTACAGAAACATTATTCATCTAATGACTCGGAACTTGAAAACAAACTGGATATATTTGTTCTAGATCAAATTCCCCAACCAAAACATTTACCATGTATAGAAATAGACAGCGATACAACACTCTTTAGTTCAAATGCTGCTTTATGTTATTTACTACCTCCTGGAGAGGATTCTGTTGAAGTTTACAACTGGTTAGAATGGGAAGCCGCTACTTTATCTCCCAGTTTGACCCTTCTATTCGGAACATCTTCAAAAAATGATAAACTCAAATCCAATTTGCTAGGTGCTCTGAATACATTGGAGAAAGAATTCAATAATAAGAAATTCTTAGTAGGAGTAAGTATTTTGTCAGATAATCAAATAGTGAAAGAATCATGATGTGTGATGTATGATGCAATAATCCATGGAGTTGAATTATTGCAAATACTAATGTAAGCTTATCCCTATGTAAGATAACTAGTAAAAAAAATTGATATACAAAATTTGTATAACATATAATGGTGTGGTTTTTCCAGTGTCAGATAAGATAATAGAGCAGAAAATGCTTGGAAATGTCAAAATGAAATTTTGTTGCCAGGGATAAAATTTTCATCAGTGGAGGTCTACAGGGTCTTTCAAATTTAAATGAAACAAAGTGCGTTAGATATCATCGAAATTTTTTATTCATTTGAAAGACCTATTGATGCCATTATGTGTGAAATATAACATGGTTCAAATGTTCGCTACGGCTTCTCACAGTACATCTATACATAAACAAAGTATAGTTACTTGGTCTACTTCATTTTTTCTTACTCATCCATTATCCATTGTCATTTCTAATACTCAATTGTCCTATGGTTTGCTACATGTCATAAAAATGTGTATTCACTATAGAACTATGCTATATGCTACAAGAAACAGCTCTCCCTCATACAGAATAAAAAGTTTATACAAAACTTTCAACAATTCAAAATTGGAATCCATTTATGAATTTCCTGTACAAGTAATATTTATTTATTTAGTAGGTAAGCCTAATATACAAACAAAATAAAAAGATATAAATCTATAAATATCTTATAACATTATTGAACTATGTAAATATAATGAACATTTGAAAGTACATTTAATGGAAAACAAAATATACATACACATCTATAGATTGTTAGGTTAGATTACATTAAAGAAACACCAACAAAAAAAAACAAATATCATAATGAGCTGTCATTTCTTTAATGATGACTTGAATTGGTTTATTGAATCAGTGTTTTTACAAATTCTGATAGTTTATTAAATTCTTTTAAGGCTTCATAAAATGTACTATTCATTCCAAATTTAGTGTTAGTTTTATTAATGTAAAAATTGTTCTTCAACTGAAAACCAGTTTGGACAGTTTGGACAACTGATATCCCAAAATATTTTAATTTTTTTAAGGTTGAGAAATGTCGCAACAATGTACTGATTTCTATCAATTGTATTTTTCCATTTAGTTATTTAAAATTGTAGAGACGTTTCACATAAGTGTCTAGCTCTAAAACTTGATTGGTTGCCTAGAAACAATTCATTGGTATTAAAGTACTGAATTAATTGGTTATATACAATCAGTTCTAAAACTTTCTCAAGAGGTGGTTGTATATTTAATGGCCTAAAATGTTCAGCTTTAATTGAGTTAATTTTCGGTACAGGAACAACAGTGAAAACCTTAAATTGATCAGGAAACACACCGGTTCTAAGTGATGTGCTAATTAAATTTAATATTGCGTAATCAGCTACCTACCTCAAAACTTTTTTTAAAAAATATTTTTTTTTAATTTCTGCTCTGTTAGTTTTGTCAGGATTATAATATTTCTTAGTTCATTAATTATTCAAGGCGTGAATTCTGTGTAATTAGTTGATATAATAGGGTAATCATGGGTCCATTGCTGTACATTTTGGAAAACTGATGTTATTTCGTTTACACTATATATGAAATATAAATTAAAATAATTAGCAATGCCTAGTTTCTTATTTAAAATTTTATTTTGATGATTAATCTCAAACTGAATATGCTAACAACATTTTGTTTTGGCTTAACATATTAAATAGTGTTTTTATTTTCTGCTCATAATATTCAGTACTAAAAAAATTGAAATTTAAATCACCAATCAATAAACATATAGTATATAAAAATACACTCCTCAACATCCAACTCACACCAAGAAATCAAGTGCATCCATTAAAAAACACTACCAACAAAAAATTCACTTGAGACTTAAAAAACTTTCTGATGCTCAGAAAATCTATTTAGTTACCAAACTTCATTTTTATGTATGTAGGTATTGTGTATATGTATATATTTGAATATGTTATATCATCATACCTGCCTTACCGATCATGAGCAAAAATCCACAAGAATGTAAAAAAAAAATATATTCATAGTCATATTTTCAAAACTGTCCGTTTTCAAGGTGTTATTTTTCAACCAAATGTTATTTGATTGAAATATGTGATGAGTTAGTGTTGCGTTATTAGTTGATGCCACTGGAAGTGTTTTTATTTTTTTTATAAATATGCTGCTTCTTATTATAAAGTGAGCATTTTTATTTCAACAAACCCAAAACACCTCTTGATAACCTTATTAACATATGGATATTATAATCAATATAACATATGTATATTGATTACAATGACTAACAAATGAATATTGTGGTCAACAAAACTCAAAACATGTATTCCAGAAATCAATTTTCAAGGTTGAAGTGTTTATTTGATTAAACTAAATGTTTTTCATTTTTAGAACAACATCACAAATGCTGACATTGCCATATGGAGTACATTGTACCCTTTTTTGACATGTCCAGCTGCAACAAAAGAATATATTACACCTTTATCTAATCTTTCAAATTGGTTTCAAACTTTGGAGGATAATCCACATTTTAAGGTAACTATTTAATTAATTAATTAATTTATAAAATAATATAAAATTTATTACACTACCTAGAGTAATTAAGTAATTATAAGGCTTCTGTTCAACCAGTGTTTTATATTTTATGTGAAATATTTTGTTCAGATGTGTATTATCAAAATAGAAATAAAATATATTTATTTTAAAAGTTACAGTTTTCTTAACCTGAATATTTTGATGTTTGACTTGGTTTTCAGGATGCCATATCTCAATTCAAAATTGAACTAAATTCATCTTACAACGCCTTATTAAATGGTGCCAAATATCCAGCACCAACTGCAGAATATTTCCATAATGTTGAAAAATCGTCTCATATTGAGGAAACTGTGACTAGTGAAGAGATAAAGCTTGCTCAAAAAGCTTGGCAAAGTGACATATCAAAATTACCTAAATTGAAGGAACAAAAAGACTGTGTGTGAGTTTGTCTTATTTAAGAATAGAAATTTGAGCAAAATATTTAAAATATTTTTTTTTACATTTGTATCCATTTAGGTTACCTGTTCCTGGAGAAAGAAATATCCTCATTACCTCTGCCTTACCTTACGTCAATAATGTTCCGCATTTGGGTAATATCATTGGATGTGTCTTATCAGCTGATGTCTTTGCAAGATACTCTCGACTATGCAACAATAATACCCTTTACATAGGTGGTACTGATGAATATGGAACAGCAACTGAAACTAAAGCTCTTGAGGAAGGTCTTACTTGTCAAGAGATATGTGACAAATATTTTCATATTCATAATGAGGCTTATAAATGGTTCAATATCAGTTTCAATCATTTTGGTAGGACGACTTACCCTGAGCAAACTGAGTAAGTATATTACAGTTCATGAAATATATATATAATTTCTAGAAACATGTGGATTCGTTTTTCGATGGCATTTCAGGTTAACTTTCCAAATTCCTGCTACTGCAATTGTCGGTTGATTGGACCAACCACCAACACTGACATAAAAACTTGGCAAGTTGACTTGGGTCACACCAATGTGTGGTTCTTCTTATGTCACGCTTGCATTTACGCAGTTATTTTTATTAAGTGCTTTTCTTGATTATTCGCATTTTGTCTTCAATCGAGGACTGCCTGCCCGGTACTGATAATGCCCAATACCGGTGGCTCTTTGAAGATTCTCACAGACAAAGTATGATGAGCTGTTTTCTCGGGTTTCACTTCGTGTTTTGTGTATTTTATCCTCATAAGGATTATTCTCACAACGTTTTGGCAAAGTCTCATTTGCCATCTTCTGGTTATGTCTGTTTTATACATGGATCACAACTTCTGTGTATTGAATTTTTGAATTTATCATTCTTATTCTTTCAGGATATGCCAAGAAATGTTCCTCCAACTCAACGACAATGGTTTCATGTTCACAGAGTCAGTAGAACAGTTGCACTGTGAGAATTGTAACAGGTTTCTTGCTGATAGATTTGTAGAAGGTGGATGTCCAAATCTAGGATGTACTTACGAAGATGCTAGAGGGGATCAATGCGACAAGTGTGGTAAATTGGTCAATGCAGTTGAGTTAAAGAACCCCAAATGCAAGATATGTGGAAAAACACCAAAGTTGAAGTCTTCAAATCAGTTTTTTATAGATCTACCAAAGGTAAGATAAAACACATTGTGAATGTGTCTAGATTCTTATATATGGCTATGTTTTCAGTTGGAACCATTGATTCATCATTGGATCAAGTTTTCTGCACCAGGTTGGTCGAATAATGCCCAAATTATAGCTAAATCTTGGCTGAAAGAAGGACTCAAACCTAGATGCATAACTAGGGATCTCAAATGGGGGGTGCCTGTACCTATAGATGGTTTCCGAGATAAAGTATTCTATGTTTGGTTTGATGCTCTAATTGGATACTTGTCTATCAGTAAAGCTTACACCAAAGAATTTGAGCAGTGGTGGAGACCGGCAAAGGGAACAGACGTTACTTTGTACAATTTCATGGCTAAAGATAATGTACCTTTCCATGCAATTTTGTTTCCTTCTATGTTAATGGGTACCAACAAGGGTTATATTACCGTTTCTCATATAATGGCAACAGGTAAGAGTTTGTGTTGGATCATATTCAAAACAAATTTCACAGAATTTCTCTTAGAGTTTCATGTATGACGTTTTTGCAAAGTTGTGATTGTTTACAATTTGCTGGATTTTATATAATGTTCTGTGTTGTATTTGGGCAAATTTTTCAGAATATCTGAACTACGAGGATGGTAAATTCTCGAAATCAAGAGGGGTAGGTGTTTTTGGAACTGATGCAAAGAGTACTGGAATACCTAGCGATGTGTGGAGATTTTATTTGCTCTATGTCAGACCAGAATCTCAAGATTCCAGTTTCAGTTGGAATGATTTGGTTATCAAAAACAATTCTGAGTTGTTGAACAACCTAGGAAATTTCATTAACAGGTAATCGTTTGATAAATATTATATTATTGTTAAAGTTTATTCATTCCCATGAATTGATTGAATGTTAAAAAATTTCAATGGTAAATATTACTCTTAATAAGTTTTGTCAAGTATGCTCCTCTTGATAGTTTAATGATATCGAATCTTGGTTGAGTTTTCATGTAATAATTATAGGTTTTTTTCAGGGCTTTGATGTTTGTAAAGAACAATTTTGATAAAACCATACCCGAAATGAATCCTAATAATGAAGATTACACTTTATTAGCACTTTGTACCAAAGAATTGAAAGGTTACATTGCTTCTCTAGAGAAAGCTAAATTCCGGGATGGGATAAGGCATATTCTCAACATATCTAGACATGGCAATCATTACATGCAGAGTAATCAGCCCTGGGTTCTCTTGAAAGGAACAGATGAAGAGAAGTGAGATTTTGATGATTTCGAATTCATGTATTTGTAACTTTTTTATTTTTGATATAAGGGCACGTGCAAGAACTGTGATTGGAATTTGCTGTAACTTGTCATGTTTGTTGGCTACACTTCTACAACCTTACATGCCGGACACTAGCGATAACCTCAAAAGTCAGATGAACTGCTCAAATGTGGTGATCACAGCAAGGTATGATACAAGTTTTTTTT